CAGAACTGCAGCATTAGCTCTCTAACTCCCAGTGTACTGCATGACATGTAAAATCAATGAGAAACCATCAAAGCATGACAGATGCTCATCTGAATTTTTATATCTGTATTCCTTCTTCTTAGTTAACATCTCCAGAACTCCTTGTCAAGTGACACATTGAAAATCTTTAATGAGAACTGTGGAGAGTTAGGTATATGCCCTGTAATTCGTTTCTTATCAGCTATTTTTCATTTCTTCTCTTGCCTCTCTGCATCTTTTTTTTCTGCTACACAAATCTCACAATAGAAACTATTAGGCTTGCTACCTAATAAATATCCTCCTTTAACATTCCTTGAAAAGTTAACACAAAGCTTTCTTGAAAGCATGTGCTGCTTCAGAAAACCACCAAAAGCTTCTATTTATGTCTCACTTGAATGTCAGCATTTGTATTTCTTTCCTCCACCTGAATCTTTTTTGGTAGTGTAACAAAGGTTAAAGAAAAGATTAAAATTTCATCAAAATAAACTGACTTTCACACTGACTCGCAACTACATCTGCAAACACTTCAAATAATTATTTTGTTCTTCCAGTCTGCACATCAAATTTCTGTCCAGCAGAGTTCCAACAGTTCACGCATACTGGATTTATTGTGTCAATGTTCTTTCAAAATAAGACAGGACCCTCAAAACCACAATCAAGCCCTGGTTGTAGACAAAGGAGTGTGCCCAGAACATGTGTGCAATGAATAGTGTGCTGTATTTGAAGTGAATTTGAGGTGTTAATGATTTGTTTTATGAACTTGTTCTAATTATTAACTGTATTTTATGAACATAATGAGCATAGGTGTATTACAGCTTTTTCTTTTTTTTTTTTTTTAACTTTAAGATGGAAATTCTTGCGGTCTACACTCTCTCAGCTGTCAGAGTGTGGATGAAAATCTCTCTGTAAATCAAAGCGCCAAACCTTTTGTGCATCCATACAGTTACCTTCCCTCATCTGACAAGAATATTTCAGTTGCCTCAAATTCTTCCTCGTGTGTGCTGCAGACATCACCAATTTCCTCAGGTATGGCAAATACTGGTTTAATTCCAAGTCCCACATATTGAACATGTTTGTGTATGAAGGAGGAAGTGGAACTGTTTTTGTCTTTAAAATGAAAAGAAAGCATGCCATAAATTATTTCTGTAATTCTTCAGCCAAATATACAGTATCTTGAATTTACTGTGGTGGAGGACTCATGGGAATATGAGGATCTGCAACTCTTCACTCTTTAAATCCTCTGTTTAAGGAATATACGCAGGAAACTTCAGAGACATTTTCACTAGACTTAAATAAAAATCCTAGTGGGAAGTGGAGTTAGCACTTCTGTCTTTTCTTACCATGCTGGGTCATATGCTAGAATAGGTTGACTATGGAGTCTGTTGAAGGTCCATTACTGAAGGTGCTTAAAATTCATCTAGAAAAGGCCTTGGGCTGCCTGACTTATCTTTGAAGTTGGCCCAGCTTTGAGTAGGATGTGAGATGAGATGACCTCGTGAAATTGCCTTCCAATTTAAACAGTACTGTGATTCAGATAAAAAAAAAAATATTCTAGCCAACAATTTGACAATTATCAGAACATTTTAAGTATGAAATGCAACACAGTAGTCAAGTGACTGTCTGACTAAAAAGAACTTTTGAACAGCTCTGTCTCTAATCATTCTTTGCTTTATGGCTCTGCTTATCATCAGATGGTTATAATATTAATTGATTTTTTTTTTTTTTTTTTTTAATCTTTTTTTTTAATTCTTCCTGATCTCAGATTTTGTTTTGGAAACCATACAACAGAATGTAGCTCATCAATGGATCCAAAGTAAGAGAGAAGAAATTATTGATCAGATGACTGAAGCATGTTTGAATCAGTCACTGGATGCTCTTCTATCAAGATTTTTACTCATGAAAGAAGACTATGAACTTATAAGCACCAAACCTACAAGGACATCAAAAGTCCGACAGCTACTTGATACCTCAGATAGCCAAGGAGAGGAATTTGCCAGAATTATAGTACAGAAGTTGAAAGATAACAAACAGCTAGGACTTCAACCTTATCCAGACATTGTATTTAATTCTCTAAGACTGCATCTTTAAATGTATTTGTTTCTGTTTGAAGCCATGTGAATATTTCTTAATACACAACTCTTTGTTTCTACATAGTAATTTTATATCTGTACTGCTTTGTCTTTACTATAAATTGGTAGAATCTCAAACAAAGACACTGGGTTCATCAAGACTGCATTTGGTGAGTTACCAGTTGGGGTTTAGTCGGAAAGCCAAAAACTTGACACTGGTGGACTGATTTTAAACAAGTATTTTGTTTATATGTGATGAAGAAAAATCATTAAATTATACCTGTTTTATGTATTTTCTGTTTATACATATCCTTCCGGATCACTGGATAGAGACAACTTGATATTGGTTGTTCTCCCTCCATCTGGTTTTTCCTCTAGAGGAGAGGAAAAGCTGCATACTCTACTTTTAGTCTTGTATGTCATGTTTATAAATAAATTTCCTTCTTCCAGCCATACTGAGTATTCCTCCCAATATACCTGAGAGGAACAGAAGGTATTTTTACAGGATTTTTATTGTGTTTTGTTTTGTTTTCCATTTTTTTTTGCCAGGGCGAGCGTGTCAGACCACTGCCTAAGAAGAATGTGAGTCCAAAGAGAAGCCTCGGGGCAAGGAACACCTTGTACTGATCATCATCATTTTGCTAAGAAATGGTACATTAGAACGGGTGGAGCTCTAGTCTCTTATTATTTGGTTATATCTGCTTAAATTCCTCTTGAAAACGGACTTGCAGAGATTTGAGATTTGCATACAGTTTATAGAAGGGAACCCTCAGTTCAATTATGCTCTTACTTTCACAGTTTTGCATAAGTATTTCTCTTATGCTGCTGAATCAACCTTCAGTTTTACTTTTAGTGTTTACATGATGGGCAGTAGTTTGAATGTGTGCAAACCTCAAACATGCACTGTGCTGCAAAGTTGGAAGTAATGTACGTGGGCCTCTCCTGTGTGGCAGGAGAAGCAATGTGCTCAGCTTTTGGGAAGAAAATGCAGTGTTCTGACCTGCCTTAGCCTTCTCTGGACAATATGTCTGCCATCCCTTTGTCTCAGGGACGGTGCTAACATGTTGAGGTACAAATGAGGCCACCTAAAAGAAAAGGTATGTGTTGGTTTTTGTTGTTTTTGTTTTTAATTATTACCTAAAAATCGTTTCAAAAAAATTAATGACTTTACCTTGGCAGCTTTAAACTCAGTAAAAAAAACACTACTTTGCCAGAACACATCACAGGCAAATCATTTTTACAGGTACTAACAATTAATTTCATTTTCCGTCAATACTATCTAAAATATGGGAAACTCAAATTTCTGGTGCAAGAATTATACTGTTTTATAAACAGGAGTAGATAAAAGCTAAATCCTAAATGACAGTTGTTTGGAAACCAGTGAAGGTGTGAGATCATTTCAGTATGATTCAAGCTTCAGTGTTGGCAGCATTACTAGTTGCCCTCAGCTTACACTTAGTTCAATATTTGTCTTTTTTTGCGAAGTGATTGCAAGAATGTGGTGTATAATTTATTGCATGGAAAAGAAGTTTTTGCAGGTTTTTTTTTGTGTAATAAGTTAATGGCATAAACTGTGAGTTTGCATTTTATCCTGCTTCCTTCTGGGGGTTTTACAATTCTAGCTTAGATAGCTGAGAACAGGGTAATGGTGCAATGAATGGGTGTGTTATTTGTGGAGCAGACCTGATCGTGTCTAGCAGGGACAAAATCTGGGCTACCACACCTACCAGTGTGAGTATATTGCCAGACCTCTGTTTCATTGCATGTCCCATTCTCAGCGACGTTTGCTCATTACTACTAGAGCCTGAAGAAAGACTTATGTAATGCAGGGTAACAATATCTTGTTTCTTAGATGCACATCTAAAATCCACCGTGTATTAAGAGCTTTCCTGAACTGTATTTCCAGTAACTAGAAGAAAAGCATGTTTATCATTACCTCCTTACAAGTTGGTAAGTTACTCTTGTAGTAAGTAGTGTCTGCGAAGTTGAAAATATGCAAGAAGGTAAAGGCTTTGCAAAAAAAAAATAATAATAATAATAAAAAAAAGCTCATTGTTCTGCCAGGTATCATCTGATGCCTCACATGTCTGTGCAGCAGGGGGTCGGGGTCTGTACCTCCTTCCCATTTCTCCCCAAATAAACCACTGTGGATGCCACCTTTAACCTCTGACCTAGAGCAAATACCATGATGCTTTTCCCTTGGCACAACTTGGGCACAGCGTAGATGCTGTGCTTCCTAGCTCTCCACACTGCACAATACATGCTGTAATGGTAGCAGGATGTATTTAAAAATAAATAAGCAAAGCAGCAACTACCCTTTGTATGCAGGCTGGCAGGCTCTGTCCTGAATCTGTGATTCATGTTGTTGATTCTTCTTACTGCTGCACTTTTGCAATTCCTAGTCTCTGACATGCTTTGCAGCCTTTTCAGGTGCCTGGTGCACCTTTTCTGTCAGCTGGATAAGCTGCTGATCCCCAGGGATCATATGGAACTGCAGAGTGGAGGGGACAGGTCCCAAAGCCATTCTAGGTGCCATCAATGTGGTGCATTATATGTGCACCTACGTAAGTGTTGTTCTAGCCGAAGCCCAGCACTCCAAGGAAGCCCTCAATGGCTAGATTGAGGGTCTAGTGTGTCCCTTCCAAATTGGCTATTCTGTGACACTGTCCCCTTCAACTTTTCCTTGGACACTGAGCTGCTCTCCATGAAGAAGCTGGATATGTGAGCCTGTCCTCTCCAACACATCAGGGATGCGATGATTCCTTCGAGAGTGAGGCAAAAGTAGCCACACCTGGGACATGATGGGATACAGAGAATAGATTAAGGAGAAAGTTTGGGGGTTGGAGAAAGGGAGGTGGAGGCTGCGTGCCTGAGCTCTGGAGGCTGCGTGCCTGAGCTCTGCAGGCTGCATGAAGGGTGTGTAGAGATGTCAGACAATTGACTTAATACATCGGAGCCTGCCTCTGACAGTTTTGTTAATTCCAGTAACATGAAAGAGGAACAGAATTTCTGTGTGGCTGGAACACAGCACTGAGTTTGACTTTGGCAACAAGTCCAGAGCCAGCCCAAGAGCCAGGCAGAGTCACATCGTTCACAGCTTCATCAGGAAGTTCAAATCTGGTGTGTCTGCTATAATCGTGCTCAGTGGGCCCCGGACTGCATGTGAAGTAGTTGCAAGTTCTCAGAAAGTTTGCCATCTGAAAATCTAGCTGCTTTTATTCCCCTGCTGGGAAAATTTTTCCACCTATAGACTTGCTTAATTATTCCCAAAAGAGAGAAGTTTTTAGCTTTCTTTATTCAAATAAAGGGAGAGTCTACAAGAGTTATTCCCCCTGTAGAGGCTTTCAAAGTATTGGGAGACACAGCCCCTTTTTTATGCCTTTACCCTGACTCTTGTGAACCCTTTCTCCATTGGCTAAGGTATCTGAGTACCTCAGGTTCACATTCTTCTCAGCACACCTCAAACATGTCCCCCTCCCCCCAACCCCTTTATTTCCTTTGTTTATACATACTTTGTAATTTGGATTCAGACTTTGTTTTTTTGCTCAACTAGAGCTGTCTTTGTATCCTTTTTGACAAAGTCCATCAATCTTTGTGCTGTCATGCAAACAGGATTTACACACAAGTGCTAAGCTAGCATCTCCAGCCACATACCTGCAAATAAGTTTGTTTAATCAGTTGTTCTGCACAAATCTTATTTTGCAAGGACATCTTCTTTCATCTCACCCCACAACTGTGCCAATACACGACGGTGTTCTGTGCATTCCTTACCTCTTCATTGGCAGTTCCAAATAGATTTTTCAGCTTTCTCATTGCAAGGAAGAATGGTGTTGATGTTTCAGAACACTGTTCTTGTTGACAATAATAGCTTTCTGCTGAGCTGTAATAGCTTGTTGACAGCCTTATGACATGTACGTTGCCGAAGTAGTAACCTAGGACAAACTTTTTGCACTTGCTATCATTAGATCTCATAAACCGTTTTAGTGCCTATTGTAACTTACTGCATTCATTTATTAATTTTCACTCTGATGAATATCTGATGTCATCATACTCATAGAATATCCTGAGTTGGAAGTGACCCACAAGGATCATTGAGTCAAACTCCTGGCTCCACACAGGACCAGCCAAAATTCAAACCCTGTGTCTGACAGCATTGTCCAGATACTTCTCAAAATTTTGCAGCGTGGGGCCATGATCACTGACTGCCCTGGGGAGCCTGTTCCATGCCCACCATCCTCTTCCAAAGAACCTTTTACCTAATATACAGTCTGGTTATTTTTCACTCTCTTTTCTATAAACACTCTACTCTCTTATATATACGTCATTTGCAGCATCTGGACACCATCTGATCTTCATGACACGTTGCTACATTTCAAAAAGAACCTTTCATGAATAGTCTGTACTTGTGCAAATCTAAACAGATATGTCCATAAAATGTGGAGCAAGTCCAGCGGTCCTGCATGTGTTGCTGCCCAATTGACATGCTGACCAGCCACAGAGTTCACTGAACTTCATTTTTTTCTCCTACACCTTGCATTAACATGGTTGAGGGGGATATCTTGATGTGCACTGTGTGCTACACTATATCCTGTATGAGCTTTGTTAACACATAAAGTTTTGATTTTGATCAGTCAGCACAAACACTAACCTTTGTTTGCCATTTCAACTGGCATTAGTTGTAAGAGTCTGCATTCAGTGGCACTTTTTCAATCAGGGTTAGTTATAAGTGTTCCAGTTGTAGACAAAGCCTGTGCCAACTAATGCAGTAAGATGCTTGATGGAAGGGGGAAGGGGATGGAGGCAGGGAATAGGAGAAAGTAGAGGGGTTGGCAGTGGTGAAGCTATACTGTTAGTTACATCAGAGCAATGGTATAAATGAAAAGGTCTGTAGAAATAATTGGAGTACTCTTGTTTCCAATGCAAAGCAAGTAAGCAAGAAACCAAAGGGATATCGCAACCTTTTCAGGCAAGTGCACTTCCCTCCATTGTTCTCTAAGTAAATGTGTATTTGTGTGGCAATATTCAGCACTAAGTTGGCACAGGAAAGAATCCTCACTGCAGAAGGACTAGTCATAGACTGCAAGGCTACAAAAATTAATGAGAAAAACATTATAGAATAAGACTTATTCACTATTTTACATTATCCATTCCATTTCCTTAAAAAATGTAGGATAAGAATAACCCTCCTTTTCAAAAGAACTAGAATTTGTGTCCACAGAAGAAATGTTTAGGATTTTTTTTTTTTTTTAATGTAGGCTGCGTGCTTTATTACTGCTCAATGCTGATTCCTGTTCTGTTACTGTAAATTTGGGGGAAATGTTAAATACAACATAATCAGCAGGGCCGGAGCAGTAATAATTGGAAAGCATTAATAAAGAAAATGCTTTATGTTCCAGTACAGAACAAAAGCAAAGGACTGAAGACAAGAGGAGGCAAATGCCTGACTGACAGTAGCACAGAAAAAAACCAGTTCATTGCCTAAACTAAGAAACATGGTAAATTCAAACTTAGAATTCAGAGCGAAAGTAAGTATGCATTCTTGAAAATAGGATTGCAGACTTGCTTTCTAGCTATCGTCTGTTAATACTGCTCTGGCGGGAGCAAAAAAACTTAAGATGTTAGAGGCCCTGAGTAAAGAATGTGATACTCAGATGGTCTCTTCCAGCAGAGTATAACATGCCTGCGAAATATCTGTTGCCAAAATGTTTCTTGGTACATTAGGATGAACGTAACCACAAACTTGCAGGCATCTGAAATTAAGCAGTCATTCCACTCAAACTGAAAGAGCTTTCATGGATAAATAACTGTTCTTCATAGATTAAAATAAAATAGCTTGGAGGCTTTTTATTCATAATACTTTAATAAATAACCAACAACAACACAGCCGTTTCTATGTAAACATTAACAGCGGACCTGTCTCAATCTATCACGGAAAGCATGTTTTTACAAGATGTTACTTTAAAAGGAAGAAATGGGAGGAGCACTGACTACGATTGAAAGGTTTGAGATGTTTGTATTTTTCCTTTGGGTCTCTGTGGCTTACGGAATGGAACACGCAACACGATGCAACGCTCCTGCTTGTTTTCCAGTTGGAATAGTGAGGCTACTGGAGGAATATCTGTGTTTGAATGCAGTTATTTCCCATCTGGATTCTAATTAAGTCCTGTTACGTGGTGCTTCAACTCAGTCCTGAACTGAAGATTGTAAACGTGCTGCATCAGTTCCTCCTAAATGCCCTTTGGCACTCGGCAAATTTATGCCTTTCTACTGGTCTTGTAGTTCATGGGGAAACAGAAATTCCAGGTTAGTGCTCTTGCATTTATTAACTTCTTCATCTGTCCAGAATTGTTTATTTTCTAAATGTTTACTTGTTTTGGTAGATATTGTGCTGTACGTCATACTGATCTTTGTCCAAAGTACTTCAAAGAGAGGACAATATATTGTTTCAGAAGACGCAGGTGAATACATTGAGTAAGTTGTTTCATTCTTTGCTTAGTATTTTATCTTTTTTTAAAAGCATGCTTAATTAAAATCAGATCTTAACACCAGGTCAGCCTCTTTTGTGTATGATGCATTATGTCAGAAATTATTAGAAAGGCCAAAGATATATAATCATGGTTAAGAAAACTGAGTTGATAATTATTCTATAATGAATAGAGTAATAGAAAATATAGAGAAGTCCACAGATTAACAACTAACAATTAACAATTATAGGAAATAATACCTTCCCTCTGAAAATCTTTCTGCTTTGCCAAATCCAGCCACAGGAATAAATATATTCTTTGTGCAGTGTTAGTAACATGTCTCATCATGCCTTTTTAAGTTAACAAAGAGTTAGACAGCTTTCACTTGTTACTCTCTGAAAAAGTGATCTCATCTTCAATGTAGAGGTTTTTCTGGTTTTTTGTTTGTTTGTTTTTAACCTTCCTTTCGTCTTATTCCTGCCACAACTTTCTAAGGAATAGAGAGCAGCTGGTAAGTAAGCTGTCTGCTTCTGCTTGCTAATGACCTCAGTTGGTGTTGTTTGAAGAAGCAGCATTCCAAGAGAGTCTGATCTTCCTTCTTGAGAGCTCTCGTTGATTTTAGTATTCATGTAATACTGTAATAAATATAGCAGCTAAAAAGACTAATCCAAGAGCGAGAGGTTATTCGTATCATACACCGTTCTGTGTGTCTATTTTGAAACAGCAGTTAGTCACTATTCAGCTACAATAACCTCTCTGCTAAAGGAAGAAAGCGTATCACCTACTCTCTGGTAAGCTGCTATTTGGTCTTTTTCATGCCTTAGATTTGGACTAGAGTAGTTTCCTTCTGAAATATCCCCCATGACTTGATTTGGGGTGGGGGCAGAGAACAGGGGATGGAACGAGAAAACCAGCCTCTGACCACAGGACTGTGAATGGAGCATTTTAAGCATTAATTCATCACAACATTTTTATAAGCATAAAATTTAAAAACCAAAAGCAAAGCTATTGAGTGGGATATTTTCTTTAGAGGAGAACAAATTGATTCATTTTTTTTCAAATTTTTTTTTTTTATGCTATGCCTTCCTAAAGCATAATCCTGTTTTGTTTGCTTGACCTCCTCTCATTATGGAAATGTTTAACAGTATTATTTCCCTTGAATGCTCCCTTTAAGATCTCTTGAAACCTGTGCTCAGCAACATTATTTTGAAGTTTAATTTACATGCTTTTGCCATGTTGAAAACTGTTGAAATCTGATTGCATTCTCCAGCAAGTATTAATATAAAGAGATATCATTGTTGGTTACTGCTTTTATGTTATTTTTTTTATGTACTACACACAGGAAAAAAATATAGCCAGAGTGTTCTTGAAGAAGATACTGAGATTTCTCACAATTTTTAAAATGACTTTATACACATATATTGGCTTCTAATGCAAACAGAATATTCTAGCCTTTGTTTTAAAGTGTTGTAAGTGGCATGTATAACATCATTTTCTAACTGATGGCATTTAGAAAACCTTTTTAATATTGTCTGGTTTGAATTTGCTGTTTGTTGATGTCATTGCTGACTTCTGTCGTTAAGAAATGATTTGGCAGGAGACAACAATCAACGTAATTTAAACAACATTGAATTGTTTGAAATAACATAAAGGATGTGACGTTCTAAATGCCCTTAATTAACAAGATAGTCTGTTGGAAGGAGCTACGTTTGGTACCAGAGAGATCCTCTGAGTTACAAAATAGTTATTTACTATTTCTTGAACTAAAAGGTTGGAGTTTCAAAGCAGCCTAGGATAGATGCAGTTTATTCCCGTGGGAAGTCTCTGTGAGCAGTTTTTAAGACATCAAGTTTCTGTAACCCCAGACCTAGTATTGCTTAATCATTCGGCGAAGGTTAATTACTTTCTCAAGAAGGAAGCAATTATTCATTAGACTGAAGATTCCTGAAAGATGGGAACTGTTTGAGAAAACCCTGCCGTGACACACTAGCCCTGCACTAATTTATGGAAGAACTGTCTTTGATTCAGCTTTGGTTTTCAACTATTAGCAAGATGTTCTTTTTACTTTAACATATGACTTCTGGTGGTGGCTTCAGAAAAAAAGAAAAAAAGAAAAAAAAAAAAGAAAAAAACACACAAAGAAAACCATAACAGTAATCATCTTTTGAGAATTATCTGTATACAGTGGTGGTTTCCTTCCTTCCTTCTCAGCTGCCCATTTACAAGTCCCTTTCTCTTCCTATTATACAGAGAGGACTTTGTGCTACTTTTTTTTCAGAGAGGATGTGGAATCTTCTCTTTGCATATCTTTCCAAAGCCTCTTGGACATTGTCCTGATTTACCGCTCTGGGTGCCTCTACTGGAGCAGATTGCTCCAGAGGTCTCTGCCAACCTCAGCCATCCTGGAGTTCTATGATTCTGTCCGTACAGCTGGGATGCAAAAACAACACTGCAAATAATTCAGGGTCATTATGCCTATCTATGTTCTCAAGGCCTTCTGCTTTTTCTCCAAGAAGAAAATTTTCTTCAGTTCGTTGAGGAAGCCCCTGAGAAAGAATGGGACCTGTATGAATGTAGGATTCTGGAGTTACACAGTATAGACTGTTTGCCAACACAAGGCACAGGAGACTGTTGGAAACTTTTTCATTTTGTGTGCTGGTACACCAGCGTGTTGATACCTGTCTGAAAAGCTTTTGCAGAGGGAAGCAGACCTTTCTTTTAGAGTCTGTGGGAGCCCATCCAGCCAGGGCTTCCCCTCGTGCCAGAAAGCTTTTATGTACTGCTCTTCAAATGCAGGAATAATTGAAATATCTATTTCAGAGATGAAATATCACTTTGATGTCATAAGGTTTATTATTTCAACAAGGTTAGCCTTTACAAATTAGACCATGCTAAAGTGGAATGGTGGAATACAAAGAACCTGCCTTTTCCAATTACTGTGTACATTCATTCTAATCTCAGGAAGCCATTCTGATTCCCTGTCTCCTAAAAGATTTACTGTAAAGCTTTGTTGCCTATTATAACAATTTTCCAACTACAATTGGCCATTCATTGTAAGAATTCAGCTTGTTATACCTGTGATGTTCGTCCCTAGTATGAAAGACCTCACAAACATTAGCTTGTAGTGGCTTTATCTTGGGTTGTGTATACCCTTGAAATGTGAGCTACAGGGATGCCCAAGTGACAATGAACCAGTCATGCTTGACCAGTGAGTCTTCTTAGCTTAAGCTTTTCTGTGCAACAGTTCAAAGGCAGAAGCAGTGATGATGGTCCCAGGATGGATAGGTAGGATGAAGAGAATGTGACACACAAGGGTGAAGTGATGTTACAGTATGACAGGGCAGAAAATAAGACTGTGGGTCAGGGTTGGTAGGAACAAAATGATGAGGTATAAATAAGGGAAAGTATTAGAGCATGGTAGTAGACCACTGCATCTCCTCAAAATGCTTTTATCTTTATCTGGGCTGTAACAGCAGTAAATTCTTTGTAACAGCAGATTGCCATTATACAGGAAGTTGCGACAGAAGATAGTCTCCTGGTTTTTCCAATTTTCTTAATATTGTGAAGGCTTTGATGAAAACTGATGAGACCTCAGTAAAACTTTATTTAAGGAAGACGTAGTGTTGAATAAAGAAAAAAATAATAACTTGATTGTAACCACACTGAATAAGAGCAGTGCTCTATCAAAGCTATCAGGAGTACTGAGACAGAGGATGGCAAGAGCAAAGTTGCCTACAAGTTTTTGTTCTCTGGAAGTTACTTTCTTGCAGAACTTCAGCTAATATAAATTGGGAGGACAGTAGATTTACACCTAGTTAATTATGGAAATTAAATCTCTTATCCTTCGACTCTCAAGACTGTACCCATTTATGGGTATTAATTTAGTGTCTGGTTAAAAGTTTAGTTGATATGGCATTTCTTAAAGAACAGAAGTTTGAACTCTTTCTTCATCTAATGTATTGTCTTTCAAAGTGTTTTTATGCACAATCACTTATTTATGAAAGAAATATTTCTCTACAGCTTTGGTTACACATTTTCAGGGATCTGAAATACTCTTTTGCTAACAAATATGCAACACATTGTTACAAAAAAAATTAATGTTTAACAAAACATAAAAATAATATTAAACTGAACATCAAAGTTCAGGTTTTATATCATGTTTGCAAGTTACATGCACTAGCAACAGTTTATCAATTGCACTGTGTACTGCTTTACTGGAAAATGATTTGATCTCATTTATCAATGAGATTTCATTTCAGGGAAGCAGATAGCCTCTGGTTTTGATCATCTATTTGCATAGCTCCGTGCTCGTATCATCTAAGGAATAACTGCACTTTAAATTCTTATTCCCATTTGTGCATTTTGGCTCTGAATTATCTGAAAGAAAAAGGAGGGGGAAAAAAAAACAAACAACCCTAGATCTGGGGCAAAAATCACAAGTTGATTTTAAACTAACTCTGCTGCCAAAATAGCTGATCTGGGGAGTTAAATGCTGAAATTCTGTGTGCTGCTGTCTCAGTGGGGGTATTCAAGCAGCTGCAGTCATGGAAGGGGTTCCTGCCACATCGCATATAGCCATAGCGAGCAGAAACGTGACGGGGAAAATGACTTATTTTCCTATTTCTTTTCACACCATCAGAAAATGTGTGTCAGTGGTAAGAAACTGGGAGTGCTTATTAGAAATTTTAAAGGAGATCCTTGACTGATGGATTGGATATTCAAAATTCCTCCAATTGACCAACATGATATTTTTCATTCTTCAAGGGACAAAATGAAAAGTAAAAGGAGTCACCCATGTGTGAAGAGAAGGTTAGCATAAGGTGGGATGATCAGACAAGTTTGAACACTTATAGCATAAACTAATATTTAACTTTATTCCAGTGTTCCTTCACTGCTTCTGTGTTTAGAGAAGTGCTTTTGGATGAAAAAAGCTCTTGATTTTTAAAGACATCTTGATATCTTTTAATCTTTAATCCACTTCAGATCTCATTAGTTACTTGATCAACCGGGAGACTGAGTTGCACCAAAAAAAGTGATAAACCTCATCATGTATTATTCAGAGGTTCTAAAACAGCCATACTGTACAAAGGAAATGATGCATCTCAGGGAGCCATCAATCCACAATTTAACAACATACATTTGGGATCAAATGTTTTCAGCCAGCATTGTGCAGACAAGTTTTGTTCAACACAAAAAAAAACTTTGCTTTAGCTCTTAGGATCTTTTTTGTTTTCTTTGGAAGCTCTTTGGAGTGGGTGGATGGAGGGAGAGGAAGGAGAAATGCATTTCTCTTGAGATAGGAACCAAAAAAGTCATTGTCTAAGCAGGCATTGGCATGAGTAAGCTTGACCCAAGGATAGGTGTAGTCAAGAGACATCTCTGCATTTGAGGCTGCTATATTTTCTTTTGCTGCCCCTTGCCACCTCAGCCTCATGCAGTGATGTGTTCACAGGGTTGATTTATCTGTGTGATCACGCAGCTGCATTGTTTTTCCCAGTTCCTGTTGCACTTGGATCTTGCCCTGCGAGTGCTGCTGTTGGACTCCCTTGTATGAAAATGTTTTAGGAACAGGGTGTTTAAAACACAATCCTTATGCATGTGAGTGGCTTTCACACAAAATTCAAGATGCTTTTATTCTCTGTAGCCATAATTTAATCTCTTGGAACAGCGTGTTTCCAGGGGAAGAGAGTCTCTTTCTTCCCTAAGATCACTTTAGCAACAGAATGTGGATTTACAATTTAAGATAAATAACAAAAGTGAAGTCAGGGTTCAATTTTAGGAATGTGAAATAACTAAAGAAAATTTCAGGATTGATAACCAAGGACAGTGATCTCTCATTCACCTATTAAAAAGGTACACAGAGTGTAAGAGTGAAAGGTAGGATTATCCACTTCAATGTGGTTCCCGTTCTTTGTACAATTTGTACACTAATTATCTTACTTATTTCTTTGATGTTACATGCTTTATAAAAGATGTTGTCTCCTCTTGTTTTCAGGTAATACTATTTGAAGATGCCAACATCCTGGCAAATATGCTGCAAGAAAAAATCCAAATCTAAGAATGGAAATGCTGAAATGGATGATATGGCAGACACAAGTGAAAAAATGCAGATGAAAAAAGAAATCACATTACTAAATGGAGTTTCTTTAATTGTGGGAAATATGATTGGCTCTGGGATATTTGTATCTCCCAGAGGTGTTTTAATGTACAGTACTTCCTATGGACTCTCTCTTATCATCTGGGCTCTTGGCGGAATGTTTTCACTGTTTGGAGCTTTATGTTATGCTGAGTTGGGAACATCCATTGTCAAATCTGGAGCTAGTTATGCCTACATACTGGAAGCTTTTGGTGCCTTTGTGGCCTTCATTAGACTGTGGTCTTCTTTGCTAATTATTGAACCAACAACTCAGGCAGTGATAGCAATCACATTTGCTAACTATATTGTTCAGCCGATTTTTCCTCATTGTGAGCCACCATACGATGCAGTCAGATTGATTGCAGCTGCTTGCATTTGTAAGTAAAATTCTGATTATTAGAAATCCATAACTATGATTGCAGGTGCCCAAATAAGTTTTTATTCCTTCACCTGCTGTGAAAATACTTATTTCCTCCCTTGAATATGTTCTTAGGAATTCATATGCTTTTTTTCAGAGGTATTTTATTTAAGGCTGAGATTATTAGAGGGGAAAGGATAATTCCATCAGTTTAGGGAAGCTGTGCCTGCTGAATTGAAGTATCTTGATGAATCTTGGGTCCAGTTTGCTGTTGAAATTTGGCCTGTATCCTCTTCACTGCTTCTTGCAAATATTGTAGAATGAATAAAGATTGGAAAGCTTACGTGAAATTAAAATTACAGTGTCCAGTGATAGGACTCAAGGGAAAGGCATGGAGTTACGGCAGGGAGCGTCAGGTTGGATATTAGGAAAATGGTAATCTCTGAAAGGGTGGTTGGACCCCAGGCTTGCCAGGACAGTGGTCACAGCCCCAAGCTGTCAGAATTCAAGAAGTATTTGGACAATGCTATTAGACATAAAGTTTCATTTTGGGTGATCCTTTGTGGAGCCCAGGATTGGACTCGATGTAGATCTCTTGCTGCTGGGGATGTTCCGTGGTTCTTTCATTCTAGTATGAGTTTTGTCCCTCGAAAAATTGAGTAGTAATCACATACTCCTCTTTATTGACTTTATTGACTTTATTGAACACAGGGATAAACATTATAACTCTAGTAAATGAACTTCACTCAAACATTTTTTCCATAAAATTTTGTCAAGATGGGTCATGTTCCTTTCAGGCTATGCTATAGTGTGATCTTTTAGAAACAAATTGTATAGCTTAACAAAATCTTCCAGTAGGATGAGTATTTTTAAGTTATTGTAATATACACTGACAATTCTGAAAAGCTGTTCTCTCTGTAGCTCTGATTCCTGCCAGCATGCTACAGAGGAAGTTCACTTCTGAAGAGGGCTCAGTGATGTAACTGGAGGCTATTATGACCACTCCAACCAGTGGTCCAGTAAAAAAAAAACAACAAACCCTATTCCAAAAGGCTTTATCAGCTGAAAGCTTCCACTTGCACAGAGAAGCAGTTGTTTATTAGAGCAAAATTAATTTCCCTAGTTTTCTAGATGCATTTCATGAAGTCCTAATGCTTGGGAGAAACAGTCTTCAATTACTGATTTTCATTAAGACTTTGGTTTTTTAGTTATTCTTGCTGTAGTCCTTATGTGAATCATCTGTGGTGTGCTCTGGTACCTCTGACTTCTATGAATTGATGCACAAGGTGTGGCTGGCATCTGCTGCTTTCTCATGCAGAAAATTAGCTGCTTCTGACCAGGTTTATGACCAGCACTTTAAGTACCAGCTCAGATTGCTGGGAAAATTACAGTTTACTATGATAACTGTAGTAAGCAACTACTGGTATGTAGTAAGCAATTTGGCAGTCAGATAGCAAGCTTACTAGTAGCTTGAAAAATTTGACAAGGTTAAGGAGCAATGGATTTAATTGGTGCTTCACCAACACAGTGCAGAGAACGTATCCACATATTTAGTAGTATTTACCAAGAATCCCATGGCAAAATGCTGTAGCCTTTAACTACATATAATACATCTCATTTTCTGTACATGTGCACTATCTGCACTATTTCAAATAGCCCTTTATAGCATTGCAAGTAACTCATAAATGTTCAGTATTGAAAATTTCAGTCAATACTTGTATCATTTTTAAGAAATACTGCTAGAATTCTACCACTTACTGATACATACTATTGAACTGTTTTTTCATACCAGAACAAAACCAAAGTCCTGTCCTTATTGCACAATATTGGTATATTAACAGTGGGGACAAATCAGGTCCTGATTCTGTAAATAGTTAGGTGCATAATTACTTTCACAGCTGGCAGGGCACCCAGACAAATATGTAGAGCTGCTCATGACAAAGAAGACAGAAGTTCTATGAATGTCTGCAATTGGATGCTAATTTCCTCACCAGATGGTTTTCATTTTAAGCAGTTACAAAATTCTTTTTCTTTCTTTTGAAACTGTAGTTTCAAACTGCAAATGATAGGCAGATCAGAGAAACAGAAAAATAGAGCAGAAGACTACTAGAGAAGAAATAGCCCACACTGTTCAGTGCTTGAGGGTCCTACAAAGAGCATTCAAACTCCTTGGCGCAGGAGCTGTCCTTACTCTGTATATAGACAAGGGCTTTAGTTGGTGAGGAGAACTTCAATGCAAACAAAGAATACAAAGAAATTATATTTCCTGCATGTGCACAACTTGCAAGTGACACTGTTGACTCGAAGGAAATTTATAGCTTTAAAGATTATTTTAAAAGAGCAGGAGTCATCCTAGAATTCAAAATCTGGTGTTTTCTTCATGCCTTCATTGTATCCTCCAGAGTAAATCAGGTATTTAATTCATCTGATTATATCTAGGTGGTCCTGAAATATTGAAAATTGATTCTGTTGTATTGCTTGGCAGAGGAGTGGTATCTGGAGGAATATATTTGAAATATGTGATGTCAAACATACAGCGGTCCTCCCATGCATGTAATTTTTCTCTTCAGGTTCCTTAACGTTTATTAATTGTGTTAATGTGAAGTGGGGAACTCGTGTGCAAGATATTTTCACATATGCAAAACTTATGGCCCTTGTCGTGGTGATATCTGTTGGCCTTTACAAAATTGGTAAAGGTAAGAATATTTTCTACTTACTTGCATTCTTAAAGATGAAGTGCATATTCATTTCAAATTCCATGCAGGAAGATTGGACTCCATTAGGCTTGTGCATGAAGTGCTATTTCTTCTGAAAAAGTTATCTGTCACAGGAAGATTAGGGGAATTTTATGGCTTACTAAGCACTGGTTGTTTAATTATTCCTTCGTTCTTGCTGCAGCAGACCAACACACACCAAGTTCTGCATTGCTCAGGCTGTATAGGAGATAGCAGTTGAATTCATAGAATCATAGAATCATAGAGTGGCCTGGGTTGAAAAGGAGGGGGAACAACTGTTAACATCAGTTTGATGATAACTAGATTAGAGTTAGTCCCAGTGTCTCTGGCACATGCTAGTAAAAATTAATAGCATGTTGGTGCAATTAACAACATGAAGAAGCAAGATGTTTCACCTTCTCCTGGGACTAAACAGCATAGCAGAAATCCAGGGAAGAAGGAACTTGCTCTTCAGCTGTGTGAAAGACATGCTGGCAGTGGTGATAGAGCTTGCTAATTGCTAGAAACAGGAGACAACACTGTAACACTGCACTCCTGTGATTCACTGTGGCATGGTAAGGCATCACAGGATGGATGAGCCATTTTTTATAAACAGTAACCAGGCTGAACTGTATATACCCAAAAGCTAGATACTAATTTCCTCCAGGGCTGCTTTTCCAACTCTAGCTCTGTCACTTAATAATTAAGGTTTCTTTTCTTTTTAATTTTCATTTGCCATTAAATCCCTAAATAGCCATTGTGACTTTATTCAGTAAAATTTCACTCTTCTGTTTAGGAACTATATTTCTCTTTTCTTTAGAAACTAATTTGTAAAACCAACTGTGAGAGCTTGCTTTCCCACGTTTTCTGGTGTTCACCTTTCCTTGGCTCCAGTTCTAATACATCAACTGTTTTTATACCATAAAATCTCTAAGGGAGCTTTTTTTGTTTAACCATATCAGTGTATGTCATTTGTCACTGATTTGATCAAATTTAAACAAATCTGAACAAATGAACACAGTCCTAAGGTTGGTTTATTTACATTGTTACCTGGGTCAGGAGGACAAAGGCAAAGAGGAAGCCTTCTTGCAATGGATGCAAAGTGCTGAGGGTTTTTACTGGTGGCAAAGGTCTCATCTCTGATTTATCTGAATAGAACCAAGTGATTAAATATACAGAAAGGGCTGGGAGGAAGAATGATTGAGACATCTGGAGAAAGTTGTAAGCAGGTCAGTGTTTTAAATGCAGCAGCTGTGTGAGAAGAACAGCTCTCATATTTTAGCCCTGCCATGGTCCTGATGTGCTGACATACGCCACTTCCTTTAAAACACTGTGAATGTATCTGATTTTGAGTAGGCACTCTCTAGTGAGAAAGCTTTTCTTGATCCTGTAGGATATTTTCCTTGTTTTTTATTTTTTCCTACAATTTTCTTCATCTATGTCCTCTAAGCGTGAGTTGATCTTGCACCTTCACCTTCCCAAATTCTAGCAGTGTATGAAGAAAATGATTTCTTTATGAATGTGAAAGACTGGTATTTACTGTTCTTAAAAGACTGAATTTCTTTTGCAGCAGCATTGTATTTCTTAGTGTAACCACAAGATGAAATTGCTTGATTTCATAGCAAATGCTTTACTTTCTTCCCTAATAGAGGTTTCAGTCTGTTTCTGTTTGCCTTAATACCTAAACCCACTAGATAGTTCGCTTTCCTTCTTCAAATTCAAGTAAGCCTTTCTTCCTCTTTTAAGGGCTGCAGAGAAGGCCTACACAGTTTCATGAGCAGTTCTTCTGTTTTGCAGTTTTCTGCAGTTTCTTGTCTCAACTGATTGAGCTAAACTAGAGAATTTAGAAAGGAAATATTTTCTGTATCTTCTCTTAATTCTAGTGAACAACTGTCCCATTGAGATGTGAGATGGGGTCTTGAGAACTTCTCACTCCATTGGCCACCAGTCCATTTGGTGACAATATGGATAGGAGAGGATGGAGTATGTGACAGATTCAGAAATTGAAATTGGGTTTCTCAACTGTGTCTCCCTGGCTCATAGCCCTCAGCACTTCATGCTCTCTTGGTAGGCTAGGGATTGGTGCCAGGGAATGAGGAAGCTGCTGGGATTTCCCAAGTGATGTCCAAATAGCAAACACGGGAAAATGTGCTGTCAGTGTAACTGTCTGGATGATAGCTGATTGGAAATCAAATTGGAACAATTTGTCAAGTGAAATTTTAACTTTTAAGAGTAGTGATGAAACCTGGATTAAATAGTTTTTATTTTGAGGGGGAGAGATGAGACATTTCGTGCAGTGCCCTGTGTCTTAATTGTTGACATGTAACAGGTAATTGTACCTGCCATTTGTACAGGAGAAACAGAAAATCTCAGAGCTCCCTTTAAGGGCTCAGCAACAGACCCGGGAATGATTGCACTGGCTCTGTACTCAGCCCTCTTTTCCTATGCGGGGTGGGACACCCTGAATTACGTCACCGAGGAGATGAAGAACCCTGAGAGGTAAATGCACATTCTGCATTCAAAGCACTGGAAAGTGTCCTGGCACGGCAGGACAAGCTGCTTTCTGATTAGAAATTAGTCTAACCATTTTCTCTACAAAAACACTTATTTCCAAAAGAACTAGTAAGTAGGAACTCCTCTCTCACCAATTGTATCACATTAATAATTTTCCTCCAGATATGTGTTTTATACCTTACACTTTGGACCAGACTTTTTAAAAGGAGAAGAACAAATCCCTGCTGAAAGTGTGAGTCCTCCTAAGCTTTCTAAAATTCCCTACTTCTTCTCAGTCAGACAAAACAATTATTTTACTTTCCGTGACTGCTTTTGCCACCAAGAGTCAGACTGTTGAATTCATGACTGTTTTATTTTGTGGTCTTCAGTGTTACTATTTATGGACAAAATGTTTCATTTTGCTGAAGGCAAAAAGTTAAACGAGAAATAAAAAAGTCCAAAGTAGTGCTGGATGTTCCATCCCCTCCTCTTTGTAGGGATGTCCACCCTGTGGGAGTGGTGTGCTTCAACTGCTCAGATGATACAAGCGCACCTTGTCTTGGGACATGCACAGTTTATCAATCAGGAAAAATGCTACAGTCAAGAAACACCTAAGCATGCATTTAAAGTTGATTGAGTGCTCTCTTAAACTGCTTTATGTAAAAGGCAATTTTTAAAGTGTTCAGGTAAAATGTACAATTTTGCCCTAAAACATGTGACAGAGCCACAAGAAGCCAACTAAGCTGCTTATGGAATTGTTTCACATGTGGCTGAACTTTATTTTGTAACCCTTTAAATAAACCTTTATTTTGTGATTACAAAATTTTGGATTACAAAAAGTGATGGATGTATCCATTTGCAAGTGTTTGAATTTAGGGACAGTATTTTACTTAAATCTGCAGAACATGAAATAATTTTGTCATTTTCCTTTTTCAGGAATTTACCTCTTTCTATTGCAATTTCCATGCCCATTGTGACTATTATTTACTTGCTGACTAATATAGCATACTACGTAGTGCTGGATATGTCAGCACTCCTCACAAGTGATGCAGTGGCTGTGGTAAGTTACATAAAATGACAAAACCAAAAGTTACTGCATGGAAGTAGTTTCTAAATTCTCCTACTGTGGAAGAATCTCAGGGAGCATATTTATTGGCAAAAAAATAGAAATATTTCTGTGCTGAAGATGTTTGCTCTGTTTTAAACCTTGTTTTCGTGTAAGAGTACCACTATGTTAGAAGGTGCATTTAAAGTTCATACCCAGTAATTCTGCTCTTGTAAAATCTTCTTCTATAATCTGTAAATCCTTCACCTCACAGTACTTCACTATAGAAGATGCTTTCATTAGAGCAAGACAGAGAAACAGCTACAGAAAATCTGGGATTTAGTAACTATGTGGGGTTTTTTTCTGTCATTTTAATGTAGAGTGGGTGATTTTTAGTACTGTAGGTCTGAAGCAATATTTTCAACACAAAAATATGGCATGACATGCTTTTTTAAAACTCTTTCAACATGTTCTACAAAAGTACAATCATAAATAACAGACTAATATAGTCAGGATTTGTTAGAATACATTATTAAAAATAAATTTCCATCTATTATTTCATTGATTTGATTTCAGCTTAATTTTTTAATTTTTTTAATGCGTCTGTCATTTTTTTTAATTTATTTTATTTTTATTTTTATTTTTATTTCTATTTCTATTTTTATTTTTATTTTATTTTATTTTTTTTTAACAATTTCTGGTTTCCCAAGTCATTACTAGTGTCAGAGGAAAGCAGTGGCTATGGCACTAGAATCGGGCTGGGGTGTTCTCATGAGAGTTTCCCAGAATTGTCCATATGTTTAATGTAATGGCCTCACTGTTGTTTTCTTTCTTGCATTACAGACGTTTGGTGCTGAAACGCTTAGTTATGCTAAGTGGATAATTCCTATAGCTGTGGCCATGTCTTGCTACAGTGGGTTAAACTCATCAATAATTGCAGCATCTAGGTATGAAATATATGACTTATTTGAAGTAGTAAAAAAGGAATCATTTGTCATTAATCTGCATTCTTCACTACCACGCTGTAAAAGGAACACTGTTAATTTCTGCATGTTAAATTGTTCATTCAAGGACAATTATGATATAAACTACAGGCACTGGAGAAGAGAGCAGCATTTACAATACACTGATACACTAATTAATTCTGTCTTTGTCAGAAAGCAGTGAGACATTCCTTGGCTAACTGGTTGTTAGAGGGGACTTTTTTTGTTGGGTTCTTTTGTAGGCTTTTCTATGTTGGAGCCAGAGAAGGACACCTCCCTGACAGTCTGAGCTTGATTCATATGAAGAATTTCACACCAGTCCCTGCTCTTCTCTTTAATGTAAGTAAAAGCCCAGCGCCATGCCTGGCATGATTAGCTGGGGATAAAGACACAGGGGGTGTTACATCTCCCTACTGTACACTGCTCCCCAGTTTTCCTGCACTGACGGCATCTTCCTCGAGTGGCCAGGATTTCTAAAACTCATTTTATCTGGTGGTTTTTTTCTTCAGTGGGAAAAGAACGGCCTGATTCTATTATGTGCTCTCTGATTGTAAAAGTAGTCAGAATGAGAAACAGAAGCTTAGAAAATGGCCATGCAACACATAGACAGGAGTTAAATCTTTATATGTGTTTTCAGTGTCCAGTGGAGAAGAGTATGACAGGAAGAGCTCTCCAGCCCTCCTGAAGGCCAATTTTCCAGGGCTTTAGTTATAACATGACTGTTCAAGCATTTAAGTTTAAATTCGTAATGTTGGATGCCTATACTTGTTATTACTCTTCTGCTCTCACAATACAAATAAATCCTGTGACACAAAAGCAAGGGAGCATAACATACAGTCTTCATGCAAATGATCTTAATGAATAATCCATAAATCTAATAGATTGAAATAAAGAAGAGGAGACACACAAGCAAAGAAAGTGGGAAGAAGGAGGTGACTGCCTCGTTATGGATACTCCCTTAATACAACAGTCCTCCTTTTTCCTGGTGGATGTTTTCTGCTCATCAAAAGAAGACTGCATACTTCTATTTCTCATGTTTGTTAAAGCAGTCATTAAATTACTGGTATTTGAGATCTCATTTTACCCCTTTCATGCAGAGTATATAGCACACCTGTGTGACACAGCTTTTAATGTTCTCAATGAGTGGATTGTGAGCACCTCCAAAAGAGAAACAAAATTAAATGCGAGGTTTCAAACTAAAGCTGATCAGAGCAGTTGGCCCATCCAAGGTTGGGCTGTTCATCTGTCCTTTTTAGGATGGTTTTCTGTGATGCTGAAATGCAGATTTACAAAGGCAGGACCTCTTCAGCCAGGCCTGGAGCTGTCACTGCTGCATTTGAGGAAGAGATACCAGCAGATTTCACACAGCGCCTTGCAGATTTCTTAGTTTTAATTATATCCTTCCCGCAAGGACCTGATTTCCAGCCAAATATGTTTGAAACAGGCCTTTTTATAACTTTACTACCTGTTTTCTTCTTAATACAATTTTTATTTATTTTCCCATTAAAATGCCTTTCTTTTTTATCTCTAGGGTTTAATGACTTTGCTTTATCTCCTTGTGGAAGATGTTTTCCTCCTCATTAATTACTACTGCTTCAATTACTGGCTCTTCGTGGGCCTGTCTATTGCAGGACTAATATATTTGAGATATACTCAGCCACGTAGACCACGGCCTATTAAAGTAAGTGAGAGGAAATAAGCTGTAACAGCCAGCTCGTATACAGGTTTATGTTACACATAATCCCAAAATCATAACATTACCAGTTGTGCTACAGGCTAATCATTTCAGCCATAGGAATCCTGTTAACATAGAAGGTAAGAAATGAAGGGGCAAAACCTGTTTCAGTTTCCACAAGAACAAGTACTCTTGCTGTGTGCTTGAAATGATACTTTCAATTTCCTTTTCCTTTCATTAAAATTTAAGTTTCTCTTTTTTTTTTTTTTTTTTTTCTTTCACCTGAATAAATAAATCCCTGGGGTTCACAGTCAGTTCTTAGTCCTTTTAGTTTTGTTCACAGAGGACTCCAGTATGTGATGGGGACTCCAGGGAGATTCACTCTGGTCAAACTTAGCATAAGAAGTTCATCAAGAATCTCTCCAAAAACAATAAATGCTCAAATTCTCCTCATGTAGAATTTCAAAAGCTTGAATAATAAAATACAGACATTCAGCCTTTCTCATGCACAGTGGTCATATGCAGTGAAATGCAAGCTTAAAACTGACAGAAGAAGGGCATCTGACTATAGCAAGGTGAAGGAGGCAGCAGAGAAATGAGGCACACCTACAGTTCATTTCTAGGTTTAATCCAGTGACTGTCCAGGATGCAGGAAAGGAAGCCCAGAGCTTTTCTTAGGCACTGAAAGCTACACACTCTTGTTTGACTGTGCTCCCTTGACTCTATGGCCTGTGTCCTAGCTCTGCAGAGATGCAGCAAAATTATGAGAAATCCAAATTAGCATCATATCTTTTGAAGCTTTTCTAGATATTTCTTCCTTGTTACCCTATATTCCTGCACCATCTTTACCAGCACCTTTTTTTTTTTTTTTTTCCTGTTTAATTGTAACATCCTGAATAGAAAGGCTAAAGTATGCTTAGCACCTACTGCTAGGAAAGCTTACACAAATCAAATATTCCTGAAGTATTCTCACACTTCACTTTCAAACTTTTGTACAAGATATAAGAAGATGAAGGCAAAATTTTGAATTATGGACAGTTTTGGTATTGACTTTCCTAAAGCAAAGTAGGTAATAGATAATAACTATTTAATTCCCAGCAGCATTTGCCAGCTTAGTCAATATCACAAGTTTGCATATGCTTTTTTTTTTTAATCATAGCCATTGGTTTTCATCACTTTACAGTTATAACTTTTTATAAGTAAAATAAATACTTATGCCAGTAAAAATTCCAGTGCTCAAATACCATCTCCTGAATTCTTTAGAAGTCTCATGACTACAGCCAGTGAAAAGTAAAAGATAAATCCATTCATAAGTTATTGCAACTTCCATTAGCTGTGATATAGACTTGCTAAGTGCCCTTCCCAAATGGTTGTAAATCATCCATTTGGTTTTGTAGAATCAGGATAATAGAAAGTTTAGCTGAGATGGATCCCCATCAAAGCTGCAATTAAAAATTTGCAATTGAAGTTACAAGGAAAACTACCCATTACTGTTCAGTTTTAAAGTAGCTCTTTCAGATTGGTCTCTTACCAGTGTGGAAAGGAACTGAGCTTGTGCAGGTCTTAAAACTACAAAATGGTCATCAGATTGTCACAAATGTACCAAAGACGCTCTCAGCAGCATAAACTGAAGCTACCTACGATAAGGATACTGCCTGTAGCCATTCAACAGACAATACACAGTACTTACTAGTCATATAGTCAATAATTATGTTTTTATTATTGACCTGTCTCATTTTAATCTACAAAGTTTGACACACACCGCTTCTTTTAATAAATGTTTGGTTTTTTCTCCACAGCTTAATCTCTTCTTCCCTATCATATACTGTTTATGTTCCCTTTTCCTGGTCATAGTTCCTCTCTACAGTGACACGATCAATTCCCTTATTGGCATTGGTATTGCCCTCTCAGGCATTCCTGCATATTATTTAGGAGTCTATCTGCCAGTTGAAAAAAGACCTAAATGGCTACAGTGGCTCTCTGGTAAGTAATATACTATCTTTTCTAGTGTTTTGAATAGGTGCTAGTGTTTCGAATGCTTGATCAGAAGTATAACTTCTCTTACATTCTTCTTCCCCTATGATGTATACCTATGCTGCATACAGCATATCACATCATTTGCTTCATCACACGGCCCTGAAAACAAAGACACACGTACCTGTACATGCATGCAGTTTAGTATCTTGCAAGGAAGAAATACCAGAAGACCACTGCTTCACTTCCTGATTGGGAAGTGGGATATCAGAGTCAGAGGAGCCCATATGTTTTCCTAAATTATGAAGTAATGAATGATTGGCCTGAAGGCTAGTTTCTACTTCTCAAGTTCAGGAAATCTTGGAAATCAGAAGTTTAATGTTTTATTCAGTTTGACATCAGATGTCAATCTGGCAATTAAATGAAAATGCTGATTAAGAGAGACTTTATTTTTAATTACTGATTTCTTTTTCCCTCTACCTATTCATTATATTCTCCTAATATATTCTCCTAATAATTTTGCATAGTGCTTTCGAATGCCTCAAAAGTCCGTACATTAGTCAAAGATGTAACTTTGTCTCAGCTACACATTTTTGCTCTGTATTGCAGTTACAACAACCAGATACATTCAGCTGCTCTTCTACTGTGCTCTGTCAGACCTGGACATAGACATGGAACCTACAAAAGCTAAAAGCAAATAGGATTGCCTTGACATTGGGAATTGCACCCAACACATCCTGTCCGGAACAATTTTTATAACCTGAAGTTCTCTCCGTATCCTCAGATATGTTAAAGCATCAGCCACTGTACTTTGCACCAATTTGATGTCTGTTAATTTCTGCTTGTTTCATAAACCACTTGCCAGCCTCTGTTTTACAGGATTTTTTTTAACTGTTCATAAACAGTTACTGAACAGCACTTTGAAACTATAAAGTATGATATGAACAAACACTTATCAGTAGGTAATTATTAGGTTCATTGTAAAAGCTTAATAAAGAAAAAAAAATCCATCAGAATCCTAAGAAATAAATTCATCAATGTAACAAAAATCAAATCAGATATCTACAAGATTCAAAACTTGAGTTGGGAAGCAGAAGCTTCAGTGTACTTCTAAAAATATTCCTAAATTCTTAGCCAAATAAAAAATAGTCTGCACTGGATAGGATACAGTTGGCAATTGGTTTTGGTCAATTATATTTTGTGAGAAATTCTTATTTAGTTATAGGCCATATTCATTACCCTTCTGTGGAAGAAGTATCTTCAACAAACAAATGACACTCTTGTAACTGATGTATTTTTGCTTTCTGGCAGAACATCTCACTGTGGAGCACTGTAAGGGACTGAGACATACTTCAGTTCATTATATTCAGAGAAAACACATTTCCATAGAATCCACTGCTTGCCTTTCAGTATCAAAAGTATAAAAAAATGAATCATACTAATTTTTTTTGCACAGTACAAGTCATTTAAAGACTTTTTAAGGAAAAAATTAAAAAATCTTGATTAAAAATCTTGTGAGCCACTGCCCAACCCTGCAGGTTGGTCTTTTGCAGAATGGTTGAGGTTGGAAGGGACCTCTGGAGGACACCTGGTCCAAACCCTCAGAGTCATCTAGAGCAGGTTGCCCAGGACTGGCCTTGCCAGTTCTTCTGGCACAGCACCCTGCAGTCCTGCTCTTCAGCAAACAGAGAGCCTCCTGCACTGGCTGCCAGGCCTTCACATCTTGCAGGTGCCCATTGCAGCACTAGACAAGTGCACCCACCAGTGATTAAATAAATGGGCAGAAAGATAATAACTGTCATAGGAAAGAAAAAAACAATCACCTTTATCAACTAGACTATGAAAACAACAGTTCCTTTTCTAATCTGCTTCATAGATATGTAGAACTTTTTGTAATCCTTCTTGTCAATTCATACTTCCTTTCTGTAATTATATTTGAAAGTAGCATATATTTTTTTAATTCAAATTCCACTCAAGTAACCCCAACTAAGTTATTTTTTTTAAATCTTACTAAGTCCCTGTGGCTTTTACTATTATTGTCTTTTATTTATGTCTATCCAGACAAAGAGAAATGGAGTAGGAAAAAAGGCAGTTGTTGCCACTGTGACCCTTCTTTCATTCCCTCCCTACAGTGTAAGGTCATTTGCAAGATGATAAACTCATGTACCTCTAGCGTAATGCTTGCTGGCACTTCTTCTGTGAAGCTTTCTCTACACATTCTAATTCCATCCATTGCAGCACTTGTGGGATTTTGTTTTGATGTAAAGTTGTAAGTGATAAAAATGCACTAAACTAAGGTATGGTACTTAGATATTTAGTACTTAAGATACTAATATACTAGAAATGTATATTTTGCTTTTTAGAAGCTGTGACTTTAATGCACTAAAATCACTGAAGTACCATAAACATTAAGAGGAAAGAAGATCAAGGGTGTAATTTAGATTGCCCTGTTCCAGATACTCTTGTGTACTCTTCATGTACACAAGTGCCTATGTTACAGTACTGCGTGATGTTCATATTGCTCTGTGACTTAACAGAAATACTGCATTGTCATCCCATCTTTTGAAGGCACCAGTTAATGATGAAGTTGAGATCCCACAAGGCACACAGAGAATATAAAGCCTACAAGATAAATTAGCAGTGCCAAATTAAACCTAGCAGTCTTTGTCTGCAGAATTCAAAGTCACGCTTGGTGATGAGCTCCATGTCACATGAAGAAAGCACTGCACCATGCTATAAAGTTGTTCATTACATGCCCAAAGGTGCTACGTGGTTTGACACAATTGAAATGATACCAGGTAGTAACAGATAGTGGGCACCAAAGGTAGCATAAGAAAGACTATGAACATTTCCATAGAAATTCTGAACTGATAAACTTTGTGTTTTTTTGCCAAAATCTGTTTTTGTATGAATCTGTTAGCTTTCTGGGCACCACACACAAGCTTCCATTTTCTTTCTTTCTGGACAGGTGACAAGTGGAAGTGTATTAGTAGTCAGATGCAATGCTATAAATGTGAATACTGTTATTGAAATTCTGTATAGACATTGGAATCTCAGAAATGTTCGTGTATTTGTTGATTTTTAATTCCTTACAAATAATACGTGAAAGTTGTTTTCAAATATCTAAGGCCAAGTTATAGATGCTAAAATATTTAAATAAATCACATTTGATCCTTGGCGAATGCTACAGTTGTGTGGTTTTAAAACATAAGAACAGCATTGCATGTGAAATTTGTCCTACCTTTAATCTCATAACTTGTTTTCTCGGAGAGCAATGAAACTCTAGTTCTTATTTCTCCTTTATTTTATCTTCAATCCCTCAATCTGTACAAATACCCAGGGTTTTCCTGTGCCAGATTCTGAACCTGGCTATATACACCAACTGGGGAATGAGAGGTTGGAGAGCAGCACTATAAGAAGGGGATCGGGGACTGTGGCTGACAGCAAGCTGAATGTGGGTCAGCAGTGCACCCTGGCAGCCACAAGGGCCAACTGTACTCTGGGATGCACAGGCCCAGCACTGACAGCAGCTGAGAAAGGTTGTCCCACTCTGTACAGCCTCACCTTGAATGCTGGATTTGGGCACCACAATATCCAAAGGACATAAATTTATTTAGCAGGCTGAGGGGAGGCCTTGTAGAATCACCAAGGTTGGAAAAGACCTCCAAGATCATCCAGTTCAGCTGTCCATCTATTACCAATATTTCCCCACTAAACTATCTTCTTTAGTACAACATCTAAACATTTCTTGAACACCTCCAGGAACAGTGATTCCACCACCTCCCTGGGCAGCCTATTCCAGTGCCTAACAACTCTTTCAGAGACTAAATTTTTCCTAACATCCAACCTGAATCTCCCCTGGCACAACTGGAGGCCATTTCTTCTCATCCTATCACTAGTTCCTCAGGAGAAGAGGCTGACCTCTCCTCACCACAACCTCCTTTCAGGCTGCTGTAGAGTGATAAGGTCTCCCCTGAGCCTCCTCTTCTCCAGACTTAACAATCCGGATGCCATTGGCCTTCTTGGCCACCTGGGCACACTGCTGACTCCTGTTTAGCTGAAGGACGACCAACGCCCCTACGTCTGTTTCTTCCAAACAGTCTTCCAGCCACTCTGCCCTAAGCCTGTCACATTGCCTTGGGTTGTTGTGGTCAAACTGCAGGACCCAGCACTTGGTCATGTTGAATTTCATCCCATTGGCTTTAGCCCAGCAATACAGCAATCTAGGCTATCCAGATACTAAAAGCATTCATACTAGATTTATACTAAATTTTTTCTTAAGTATTTGCATAAGTCGTCCTGAGTACATTGTCCATATGTAGTTGTGAATAGCCAAGGTACCTTCTGTGTATTTTTATTTGTCTTTCTTACTTCTGGAAAATTAAACTTTATTTTCCTGATGCATAAAAAATATTGAAATCAGAGTGCATTATCTAGTTCCAATCCCCCTCATGCAGGAAGGGTTGCCAGCTATTAGAACAGGCTGCCCAGGGCCCCATTCAACCTGGCCTTGAACGCCTTCAGACATGGGGCATTCATAGCTTTTCTGGGTAACCTGTGCCAGTGCCTCAACACCTTCTGAGTAAAGAATTTTCCCCAGAATCTATCTAAATCTCTTTTGTTTTAAAGCAATTCCCACTTATCACTGCCAGACTGTGTAAAAAGTTGGTCCCCCTCTTCTTTACAAGTTCCCTTCAAGTACTGCGAGGCGAAAATGACGTACAGGAGAACGCACATTCAGTATCTGTGTGAGTGGGCACTAAGACACTCCCTAAGCATCTTCTCTTGTAATTACTTATATTGTTTAACAAGAGCTTTAGAATTATTATCGCAAAATCTCTGAATCTGTAGTACCAGATTTGTCTAGCTGCTGTTCTGTAGCTGATAAGAGAGTTTTGTAAAGAGTTAGCTGATAAGCTAGAGTTTTGTAACTATTCCTTTTTTTTCCTGCAGGATTCATTTTGGTATATTAAGAGTGGCAGCCCAGTATCTATGCAAAGTGCTATAGTTTTGCAATTCTCAAAAGCTCTAAATATAAAAGCGAAAGTCAGCTGAGGTTTAAATAAAGTGCAAAATCCAAACTATGTTACAGAATTAGGAGATAACAACATCTTCATTTTCTAAACCAGGATCTCACAAGAAATACAGAAGTGCTATTTTAGGAATAGGCATTTAATGTAATAGATGACAATTTCACTGAAAAACATGAAAAACAAGCAGGCTACCAAAATATCTCATGATTAGCAACAGAGAAGGCCAGTGCTAAAGTCATAGGAAATGAGTGGAATTAGTTTGATGTGACCATGGTTTTTAAACAGGAGAGCTCAGCATTAAAGCAAATGATCATTAATCAGTTCTCCTCTAGCAAAGAGAATAAATGAGAATTAAGTGGTTCATGCTACAATTCAATTAAAAAAAAAAAACACAGTAGAAATGACAAGGAGTGGTTATCCAAAATGTGCTGCGTGTCGACTGAGGAAAGTGAATACACTTCAGCATACAAATAGACCAAAGATGAATTCAGCAGTATGTTTACTCAGTGCTCAAAAATGTTTATTTCACAGAGCCAAAACCAGCAGTGGGCTACACTCTCAGAGGGAGGGCAGAGTTTGAATTGGGAGGAAAAAATACAAAACAATATAAAAAAACCATCACCAAACCAAAACAAAAAATCTGGGGCTGTTTGATAACATTCTCATTCACATGCAGAGATCAGAATAAAGAAAGGAATATGCACTGGTTTAAAGTCATAATAAATCTTTCCTCTTTATAGAGTAGAAAAGTAATTTAGAAACAGAAGAGAGACAGAGGTGACTGTCATACATTCAATGCTAGGTTTCCTTCCTTCCTGCCTGCCTTCCTTCCTCATCACACACATCACAAAAACATGAAACTTTCTCTTTTTGCTTATTTCTGATGGCCAGAGGCAGGAGAAAGCCCTGCTGTGCTGGAAGGCAGCAGAAATGTTCATCACAGAGGGAGGCCCCTGCTGGAGGATGGCAGTGGGGCAGGGGGAGATAGAAGCACCTTGCAAATGTAATAACCTGTAACAGGAAGCACTGCCAGGTTAATTATGTATGTTTAATACAGTTCCAGGGTTATGCAGGTCGTGCAGCAGTGCCCTGATGTTTGCCCTGTAAGTTGACTTGCTTTCATTCCTCATCAGCTGCTTGAACAGCTGAGCAACAGCAACAGCACGCGCACAGCCAAAGGAGGGCACCTTGCAGACCTGTGGAATTCACTTCCTATGCAATCAATAGGAGTATGTATGTGAACAGTGGTTTGCAGAAATTGTATCTTTAGTGTCAGAGCAGAGACACCAAAACCCATCACTTTGTCACAGAGAGGGAGAGGGCCGGGTGTGCTGATTGCCTCTGACAGCTCCATCGTTCGTGACAGCCTTTAATCTCATTTCTGATCACAACAGGAAATAGAGTAGAAGATTAAATGAGGAAAGGGAACAGCTTTGGAAGCTGTGATATCACCTGTTTTAAATGGAGTCCCAAGCAGTTCTGTGAGAAAACTTTGTTGGGAGAGGTCACTAAGGGGCTGGGTGCCACCAGGAGGGCACGAGCACTGCAGTGAGGAGATGGCAGCAGATTGAAACACTCTGTTGGCCCAATGGTAAACCACTTTGTTCTGGAGGCAGATTCCCTTTTGTGAGTTATCTCACTGGATGACAGCTCCCAGTGACAGCCCATCTCACCTGGAACAGGGATGTTTCTGAATGATTTGTTGGTTGCTCTGTGTTCCAACATAGTGGCTGGAATACAAGCTGAGTGGTGGTT